AACCGGTGTGCCTCAGTGCCTCTTCTTCACTTGGTTTATATATTGGAGTATAAATCAGCCTTCGATAATCCATTTCGAAAGCTCAATTATAATATGAATTATAGGCATCTAGCGGTGCATTTCCCAGCAGGTAAATTGCGGGTGCTACCCAAATCGTGAGGTTAAATGGGGAAAAAATAAAACAAGTCTGCAGTTTGAATGATCTGATTTGTTACAAGCCACCCCCCCGAATCACATGTACCCTTAAATCTCAGCATTCTCTTTCCACACGGTAGGCACTGGTTTTGAGGGAGCTGCCATGATCTTGGTGCTGGGCCTGCCCGTGGCCAGCGTGTCAGGATGGAAAGGCAGGACGCTGCCAGCGAGGGGGCCGAGACACACAGGATTACGCAACGTGTCTGTTTCACTGACGAGTGACGAAGTCAGATAAATTACCAGCGTGGGCTGGTCACACAGATACCCCTGCTGCTCCACTGCAAGACTCACAAGACCCCGGAAAGTGAAAAAGTGCAGAAGTGCAAAGTGACGGCTCTCCCGGCCCACCTGCGGCGAAGCCCCACGTAGATAAATGGGGGGTTGGGTCTGGCTGGCTCTGGGGATTCCCGCGGCGCTTGCCGGGGACCGGCTCTCTATCTCACCGCAGTGTACATGGGGGACTGCACAGGGAATACAGTAAGCCTCTCCTTTCATGTGACAGAATGGGCACAGATCACCCACATCACCGGCGCCGCCTCTCCCCCTTACAGGCCACATCTCATAGCATAATGTCCCAGCTGAAAGGCAGCACTCACATCATGTGACCTCTGCTAAACTGGGATTTTAATCTAAACCGGACAACTGGCCTTGTCACGCTGTAGGTAAGTATCCATCCATCCATCCATCCATCCATCCCTACACAGCAGTACTTCAGACCCTATTTCAAACACAGTCGTACCAATGACTAATCATCCATTCCATTTGGAATGGATGATGCTAGTCATCTCATTCACTGCGGTCTGCTCCTGCTGATCACACGGAGCAAAGAGCTGCGGTCTGCTCCTCCTGATCACACGGAGCAAAGAGCTGCGTACTGCTCCTCCTGATCTCATGGAGCAAAGAGCTTCGGTCTGCTCCTCCTGATCTCATGGAGCAAAGAGCTTCGGTCTGCTCCTCCTGATCACACGGAGCAAAGAGCTTCGGTCTGCTCCTCCTGATCACACGGAGCAAAGAGCTTCGGTCTGCTCCTCCTGATCTCACGGAGCAAAGAGCTTCGGTCTGCTCCTCCTGATCTCACGGAGCAAAGAGCTGCGGTCTGCTCCTCCTGATCTCACGGAGCAAAGAGCTTCGATCTGCTCCTCCTGATCTCACGGAGCAAAGAGCTGCGGTCTGCTCCTCCTGATCTCGGAAACAAGGAACTGCAGTCTACTCCTCCTGATGTCATTGACGAAAAGCTGCGGTCTGGTAGCTGTGGTTTGCTCATCTTGATCTCATGGACGAGGAGATCCTGGGGTGAGGAGCTGTGGTGTGCTCCTCCTAATCTTGGGAAGAAAGAGCTGCAGAATCCTCCTCCTGATCTCGGGGACAAGGAGCTGCAGTCTCCTCCCGTCACACCTCAGCAGCACTACATCTTCTTCACACCCCTGACTGGAGGCTACCGGTGGAGAGCTGTAGGGTCTCGCAGTGGGGGCTCAACACGGGGCTTTATCCTCTATTACAGCTGAAGCTGAATTCTGTTTCCCTACCAGGGTATCGACAACGATGGAACCAGCAGCCAACTAACGTCGGCTGAGTGCCACAGATTCCAATAGCCTCTGATCCGACGGACTGGCCATTCAGTGGGCATCAAACCCAGGCCATGAAGGAAAAACTGGCTCATGACCCAGATCACATCGCTTAGCGGATAAGCAAGCGCTCATGTCAAAAAAACAAAATGTACCTGGTGCAAGGATACCCAGACAGGGCCGCCATCCTTCAGCATCATTCTTTAAAAAGAATAAACAAACAAAAAATGGAGCATAGGATTGTGGGAAAGTCAGAGCATTTCTCCGCCTGCCAGGAGTTCTTCAAGACAGAAGTTGAGTTTAAAGTTTCCTTGCCTCTAAAAATACCCCTTGATCCCTTCCTAACCAAGCACCCCCTCCCTTTTTGTGCAGCAGGGGTATCAGGCACATTAGAGTGGTGAGGGCAGGCGGGGGCAAGTTTGGGAATGGCGTGGCCAAGGCAGGCATGGGATCCATGAAAAGCAGCAAACATGAGCCGCATGCCAGACTTCGCTCTTATTTTTTTTTGCTCAAGCCCCAAAATAGCAGCACTCACAAAGGGGGGGGTGGGGGTGGGTCGCCTGACTATTTTTAAGGGCGTCTTATTTTAGCGACCTCTTAAAAAAAAAAAAAAAAAAACAAGCCTGGAAGATGGATCCATGAACGTTCTTTTACCCCCTGCTACTCCGCCAAGTCCCCAATCCGCCACGCCCCGAGGAGCAGCTCTCACCCTGTGACCGCCGTTATCGCCATGCTCCTGTTTCCCAGACACCCACCCCCGCACCCCCGGCATAGCAGCACCACCATCCCCGTGGCCGGCTGCAGTGGGCCCTTACTGCTGCGTCACACGAAACCTGGGGGCTGCCAAAGTTTCGGGGCGTTTCGGGCCAAAGGGGGAAATCGGAGTGGGGGTTCTGCGGCAGGGCGCCCCCTTGAGGGCAGGGTGGCAGACCTCAGATTAAAGGCCAGGCCGGCTTCCCATGAGTGTCTGAACCCCAGCAAGGTGCCTAATTAAAGGCCTGTAACGACGAGCTGAACGACGGCCCTGCACATCTGGCATCCGGGGCCCGGGGGGCAGAGTCCAGGCGCGTATGGAGTCTGGGGAGTGCTGCCACTTCAAGGGCCGTCACAGCGACGCTCTCCACACAGGGCGGCCCGCTGGCTGATTCATCTCGACGGAGCGCGTTTCTAGATGACGCGCTGTAACATCCCCACATCCAGATCGTCACGTCAACAGACACATCACCCCTCCAGTGTGAACAGGGCACCCTGCCATGGGGTCGGCACAGAGTCTGCCCATTGGCCGGAGCGTTTGGGCGAGATAGATGCTGGCAGCCTGGCGTTGTGCATGACCTTGTCGCAAAAAGTGCCCCCCCCCCCACCCTTTATGTGATTGCATGAAACGGATGCCATAATCAAAATCAAATATGCCAGACTTTGGATAAGTCTTCATAGTTTGTGCATTGACTTCTCATGCTGTGGGTTGAGTACGACTTCCTGTCAGTGGAAACACGGTGAGTGGGTCCGACAGTGTGACCTTTGGCCCACAGAGGCACCTGGAGCTAAACAAGCCGCAGCCATAAACCCCAAAGGTGACCATGCTTATAATAAACACAGCGCTGAGGATGCTCTTCCGCCCGCATTCGGGAGAGCAGCAACGGCCAAACCTTGCAGGAGCTGCTGGGTCTTGCGGTGGCATCAGACGCTGTAACGCCGCCCTCCCTGTAGCCGCCCCGCAGTCCCCGCCGCCCCAGTTCGCTGCAGCCCAGTGCTGTGTTTCTCTCTGGACTTTCAGCGATTCAGGGCAGATGCAGAAAGTGAGGATGCAGTTTTATAAAAGTTCACTTATGACAAAAAGTATGCGATGCATGGGGCACTTAGAATGGGACAAATTACCAGCCGGGGAGACACTGGGCATAATGCTGGACCAGTACAAGTTGAACTGGAGTCTTCCTGTCAATTTCCTCCTACCAGCGTAACATGATACCTTGACAGGCTGAGAGATTCATAAACCTTTTATTTTTGTAGTATTATTATTTCAGATTTAACACATTAAAACATCGATCCATCCATCCATCCATCCATCCCCTAACTGCTTATCCTTGAAAGGGTCGCAGGGGGCCTGGAGCCCATCCTAGGGAGCACTGGGAACCAGACAGGGGACACTTCATGCATCCATCACACTGCACACACTCACAAACTGAACTATTTAGAGTCCCAAACTGAAGCGCACTTTATAAAATGGCCCATTTTAAAATGATGTCTGGCTTAGTTGACAGTATATTGGCACAGTCAGGCAGCCTACTGACACGACCTTTGCCACAGTGCCCGCGAACCCAGCCAGGCTGTGACAGGAACACCTTGGCGGGCACATGAGAAGGCGTTAACGGGCGCCTCTGGCCCGTAACCCAAACCCAGTGGCCGTTATCCAGCAAGGCGGCTCTGCGTTTATAGGCTTGGCCGCTCTCTTAGATCGTAATGCCACCAGTTGGTTGAAGTTGGGCTTTACCAAGGCGGCCCAAGTCAACAGCGTGGCTTTAAAGGGACGGCATCGACCCCTAACCTTAAATCCTGGCAAAAGTCTGCTCCTAAATCTAGTCCCTTAAATAGCTGAGCGACGTAATTAAACTTGACTGCAAGCCAACACTAATGCTGGTATTAGTACTTAAAAAGAAGGAAACTAAATGAAACCAAACCAGAGGAACAAACTCAGGATGGCACTGCAGTCTGCGGAACAGGTGCCACGGGCGACGCAGGGAGGCTCGCACCGAACGGGGGGGCGCAGGACTCGCAGCTCACTGGCTGTGGGCAGCGCTGCCTCCAGCGACAGGCGGCGGAAGCGTGTGCAGATGTCAGATGGAGACGGCATTCTTGACGGTCGGCCGCTCCAGAGAAGCCCGGACACCAGCCAAGAGAGTCTCAGAGTCTCGCTTATCTTTAGCCGTGGTGGCAGGAGGAGCCGTAGGAGGAGAAACTTCTGAGAGGAACCAAAAGTCCCTCAGACATTTTGCACGAAACTGCTATCCTGACTTTTGACATTTCACTCCCCCCCCCCCTCCGAATTACAGTTCTGCTTTCATCAGCTCTTTCTCTTTTCAGTAAATGGTTGGATCCCCGTAGCAACAAAAAGTAGGCAGGCCTTTGCGATCGCCCAGGCAGGACACCCTGCTGAAGTCTCAGGCCGGGCGAGTGCCACGCAAAACCCCAACGATCACTCTCAACGGGAGCCTGAACACCCCACCACCCCCACTTCACACTTACCGGCGCGAGGAAGGGCATGTATCCTGCTTCTAGACAGCATCTGCAGGGGCTTGTCCCGGCCGGACATCGCATCCGAGGAAAAGCAAGATTCCGTCTCGTAGATGGTCTGCAGCATAGCGCAGAGTCCCGGTACGGTCGGCCGCAAAAGCATGCCAGTCCCCACCACGCTCCGTAACGTCAGCTAGGAAAACATGGGAGCACGAGCCGGGAAGCAAGCCGCCAGAGGAAAGGGAAAAGTTAACCAAACAAATTGGGGGGGGGGAGGTGTTAAAAAAACAAAAAAAAAAAAATTGTTGGGGCCGGAGCCTAAATTCTTCAAAAGTACAATTAGAAATCCAGACCACAGGCAGCCACGCGATTATATCCCAGATGAATGGATAATCGGCGATGTAAACAGAAGGCCGTTTCTTTTTATGTTTTCAGGGGAGGCGGAAATTTGAATGGGGGGGAGCGGCACCATAACAGCGAGGAGCGTGATTAATCTCTGTTGTGTAATCTTAGCGCCGAGCTGGTACAGCCCATGAAAGTCCTCAGGTCCTCGATGGGAAGGGGGGCGGGATTCTGCTGGAAGGGGAATCAGGGGGAGCCTGGGAGGCGGAGGTTCAGCCTGCGGTCCAAACTCCTCCGTATATCCATACTCCAGTCAGGAGTCCCTCTTCGAAACGGTACAACCCGAGTGTCGACAGAGCTCAAGCCGTAAGGTAAACAAAATTCCGAGTCCCATCCGGGGGGTACGATCCCTCAGGGGCGCTCCATGATCCGGAAGCTTGACACGGTCTGAAGGCCCCCCCCCCCAAAAGCTGACTGGTGAAACCAGGATATATATATATTTAAAAAATCAAAACAGCTGCCGTCTCCGGTAGAGAGAGCGCGAGAACGGGCACAGGCGGTACAGGAGGCACAGGAGGCACAGGAGGCACAGCCCGCGATCTGAGATCTGAGGCTGACGCGGCGGCAAGGCCGGCCGTCAGCTCGTCAGGGGCGGTGGCGAGCAGAAGGTAGAGAGAGTGGGAGAAAGAGAGAGAGAGAGAGAGAGCGGGAGAGTGGGAGAGGGAGAGAGAAAGAGGGTGGCGATCCAGCCAGACCTTGACGCCGCACACCTGGGCCGCGGCGGCAGAAGGTGAAGCCGCAGCGATGTTTGCAGGGTGTCCCTTCCGTTAGATTGTGGGTGACCCCAGCTCCTCCGCTCAGAACGGGACAACTGGACCGTCGGGGAGTTTACAAACAGAGTGGGCCACTGGGCGAGCAAGGGAGGCTGGAAATAGACGCGGGATGGCGGGGGGGGGGGGAGGGACAGACTATAAATAGAAAAGAGCCAAGCGTGCTGATAGCACGCCTGGGGAGGGAGGCTTGCACATGCAAACGGCAGCAGCCAATCAAGTTTGCTGTCGCTCCGCAGCCCTGGGGACCGCAAGCTCTGTGAGAGGCAGGCAATCCGACTGCTACACACAGACATACGGAGACACACACACACACGCAGAGACACACACACACGCAGACACACACACACACACGCAGACACACACACACACACGCAGACA